ATATAGACTATATATGTATGCATATTTGGTTTGTGTCTGACTTGGATTCACATTGATTGGTTTGGATTTTTTGAGGTAGAGGCGTGAAATTTTGTGGTGTACTCCAGTTATTTGAGGCAATGAGACACTTTGGTTTTGCTTACTGACTTTGGTTTCGGTAGCAGAACTATATTTGCCTGTTTGATTACCCGTGCTGGATGACGACATCAATGGCTGTGAGCGCTCCGAGCTGAAAGAGATAGATATTATATATATATATAGTATATCAAAATAGACCATGATCATAAAAACAAAATGTATATGGAAATGGAAGCTGATAAGGCTTCTTTGGTTGCTCAACATTACCACACGTGCTGCCCTCACTTACGCAGTATCCACATCCAATTCATCGGAGTCATCGCGGTCTCTGCCGCGCAGAGATTTGCCTGGCTGTTTGCTCTCATCTTCCTCCGCATCGCTGGGATCACTACTCTCCGCTGACGAGGAGGACGTATCGTCGCCGCGCTTCCGTCCGTAGTAGCGCTTCAAGGGCGGCGGCGGTGGCTCTGTCACCTGGGGCACCGCCGGCGTCGCCTTAACCACAGCCGGTGCAGTTGTCGTCATGCTGAGCACGCGCGAGGATAACGGATAGCTGATCATGGGCACGGCTGACGCCGTCTGCTCAGCCGGCTTTGTCAGCACCTGCTTGAGCGGCACACCCGCCGCTGTCGCCAATATGGTGCTGGCCGTCGTCGTCGTCGTTGTTGTGCTGAGGCAAATAGTTTTCTGGGTTGCTGGCGGCGTTGCAGTCTTCTTAACACTTGAATGCGTTCGGCTGCGTCGGCTGGTTCGGGAGTGGGAGCGGGAGCGACGCTTCCTCGACTTCGTGTAGGAGCTGGCACTGGAGCTGCCGGAGGAATAGGAATAGCGTTTGCGCGATCGTCTATAGCTCGGGCTACGTGATCGATCCCAGGACTTCGATCGAGTGCGAGACTGGGAACGCGATCTGGAGTAGTAACGTCGTCGTCTCCGACTCCGTGTGCGGCTGCGTCGGTGATAGCTGCGACGACGACTGCGCCGGCGGCTTGGACTGCGGGAGGTGCTATGCGAGCGCCGTCGCCCACTGCGCTTGGCCGACTCGTTCATGAGCTTCAGTTTGTCCAGGTTGTCTTTGACCTTTTGTGCATATGACACTGAAGCAGCTGCAGATGCTGCGCCGCTGCTAGCATTAATGCAGGACTCGCCCAACGTCTGGCCCGGCTTGGTCAAGTTGATGGTGATCTTTGAGTGCGGCTGCATCTCGTCCTCGCCACCGAATGAGGTAATGTAGGTAATCTTTTCGCCACCGCCCTCGGCTGGTGACGGCGACCGCGACTCCGAATCCTCGTCCTTGTCCTTGTTTTTGCTCTGGTCCTCCTTGGCTGCATAGCTGGGCGGGCTGAATGGACGATTTGCAATTCGTCGCTCCTTTTGTGCTCGTCGCTCTCGACGCGACTTGCGACCACTTAACAGCATCTTCTCCTGCTCCTCCTCGCGGGCAATGCGCAGCGCATCCGCTTCGTCTGCATCTTTAGTTAGATGAGAGAAAAAATCATTACTTTTCATGCCGTAGTTACGCCCGCAAGCATTTAGTTCGTGTGCCTGAGCCGTGTCCAGTTTGCCAATGTCTATCGAGACATCCATGTCAATATCGGAGTCTGTTTCATCCGAGTTTTCAGCCTTATCACCGGAAGGAACGACTGCGCTGCTGCTGCTGCTCGCTGTCTGAGCCGATCCAAAGGGCTGTGGGCCGATTGCCATCGAGGGCAAGTCCCCGACATCATCATACGAATACCCAATGGTGGCTCCGCCGGAGCTCTTCTGCTTTTTCTTTCCCAAATTTCGCTCCGCCTCAAGCTGCGCGTTTGCTCCGTACTGCTCCTCCAAATACAGTTGATGCAGGAATTTGTCTTCGCTCACATTGAGAAAATCATTTTGAGCCAAGATGCGATAGCGTTCATAGTTCAACTGGCGCTCCTCGGCCGTCAGCTCCGACTCGTCTTCGCCCTGCTCATTGCTGCTCTTTGGCACGGGCGCAATGTAGTCCAGATGCGCACGGACATCGAAGCGATCGATAAGATTGTCCTGATGTCCCTGCCAGGGCACACTGAAAGGACAGAACAAGGATCAAATTAGATTTCGCACAATGATTAGCTAGCCACGATTCAAAGATAAACTGTATTCAATATCACTTGCATGATTGCGTCGCCGTCACCGGCGGCCGCTACGGCTGGATCCAGATAAATTTTGCAGCGTCTGCCATGCAATTGCAGAAACTGTGTGGGGTCCGCTTGGATCTTGTCATAGAAGTATTGCCTACGTTCGGCACGCTTGCGGTAGTCCACGATGAGGCCGCGTATCCGGCGTTCTTGTTTTCGAGCTTCGTGCCACATAATTTTCCATCAATTGAATTAGGCAACGACTACTTTTTCACAGAGTTCACACACGCTCGCTCGGCCGGCAAAAATCGTCTATTTTTTAGTGACTCGTTTCCATTGGCTCTCCGTGTGCCAGCAGCAGTGTTGCAAAGCGCGTGCAAACGACGCCCTGAATCGGAACTTGTTCCGCTCTCTTCAGATCCACTATGTAGCAGGGCAAGATGCATAATTCAAACTAATTGGGGTTAATTTAAGAAAAGATCCCACAGCAAAAAGATTAGATGCAAAAGGAAAAGTCATGGTATGCCTTTGTCCATCTCCTGGTCAGTCCAAGCAGCCGGCTATCGCCTCAGGTCTGCAACTGCGCATGCGCATCGCATAGGGAGATGGGGTGGAAACGGATATAAAAGAGTTTCATAAATAACAGGCAAAACTGGAATGAGCCACAACACAACAATTGTCAATCGCTGCTGCCTCAGCCGCCGCCGACGTCGCCTCAACTTTTTGCGGCATCGATTTTAAGGGCATATTCACATCCTTTAGCCAAGTATTAACAACTAGCGCAACCAGTTTGCTGATCCCGTTGATTGTCTAATGTCTGGTAGACGTTATTATTTCGGAGCTGAGAAACGTTACAATACCCCCATCGAGGGCGAGAAGAAGGTCTGCCAGGAGGATGGGCCTTTGTACCCTTGCGACAAGAACAACAACAGCAACAACAACAATCACAGCGGCAATGACGACACACACAATGAGCCGGACGCCGACAAGGACGACGACTCTGAGTTCCTGCAAGATGTGCCATACTCGTCCAGCAGCATTGACCGCAGCTCAGTTGGCTCTATACCCTGGGCCGATGATGCCATCAAGAAGAACAAACAGGATTGGGAGCGCGTCGACCGAATGTTGAGCGGCGAGGAGCCATTGCCGGAGCTGGAGCCAGAGCTGCGGAACGAGATCCTCGATTGGCAACGCAAATTTCCTAGTTTATTAGCCCGCAAAGCGCAGCCTCTGAAGCACCAAAGTGTGGACAGCAGTCGCCACAACACGCTGCCAGATGAAGCCGGCGAGATCGAGTCCATATCAGATCTTAGTCTCAACTCTCTGGATGAGTATGACGAGAGGGATGAGGACGACGACGACGAAGACGACGGATTCCTCACACCAACAGCAGCGAGACTTCGCCAGCGCCAGCACGAAGAGCCCCATCACATGGCATCCAGCCGCACCTATCTGCCTTCTGCCCAAAAACTTGTGGCCATGCTCGATAGGGATTTGCACATCACCTCGGTGGCAGTCAAGCTGCGGAAGCGGGAGCGCGCCCAGCAGCCGCCTGCCCCAGTCACCCCACAGTCGGCTACTGTGGGCCGCTCTCGTCTTCGGATGCCGCCCATCCTGAATGTGCTGGACTCGAATCGACGATTTCGCGGGCTCCTCAATAATCGAAGCTTTGTGCAACTCACGCAGGTGCAGCACCATCAGCAGCAGCACCAGCCCAAGTCAGCGGCCCTGACGTATGCCAGCAGCGCAGAACGACGGCAACTGGCGGGCGTCAGATCGGCCTGGAATATGCCCATGGCAGCCAGCCGTTTCCTGAACAACAGGCATGCCATCGTGTTGCCCTCACTGAACCGCCACAGAGACTTTAGCACGACTGCCACCTCCAGTCAGAGCATATCCAGTGGAGGTGCCACGCACAATGGAATCGCCATGGACAACCATGCCAAGGGCAGGGACTACAACATGCAACATTCCCGTCAGTATGGCCTGTCGCTGGACCAAGTCACAACCAACTCAAACACGCCCTCAACCGGCCGGTCGATCTCAGCGGCCATTCATCATCCTCGATCGGAGTTTAACACTAGTAGTGCCTTCTATATACCGTACAGTGCCTCAAAATTCAAAGCCTTTAAATAGCCAAATCCGATATTGTATACAACAACCGTTAGCAATAAAGTTTGGCTTGACTCAGGCATCTATGTAAATGCGCAAGGGTTGAGAAATAAGGAACAGGGATTAAAGAATAATTATGGTTAATCTTCCTCGATCTTCAATCAAGTATATTGACGAGGACGACTAACTCAACTTCTTGAACTGATCTTTTAAATATAAATATTTTCCAATCTACATTTTGATATCTCTGCTTAATATTTGTTTCCTTAAAATACATTTTATTATAAAAACTCTAGACATTATTACAGATTAATATAGTTCACTATAGGCGCAAGTTGTTATGTCAAAAGATCTTGTTTGATCCAATTCTGTTCACTTAGAGACACCATTTCATACTTTCCAATCCCCAAACACGACTCTTGCATAACAATGAAAGCTGCTCAAATTCACAGACTCATGTTGTCCAGGCGCAGTCGTCCATCGTTTTCCGTAAGGTATAGCATATCTGCTAAGCACTGCTCCGTGATCAGCTCCTCCACGCGATCATTCATCTAGTGAATGGGAAAAGGAAGAGATTTCATATTATTAGAAACACATTTGCCCATCCCCATTTCTTATCCGCTTCGCGCAACTTACGCCTTTTGCTTTGCGGTCGGCCAACACTTCTGGATACTTGAAAGCCGGGCCAAAGTTCACACTGACTGTGGCGCTCTTGTGTATCGAAATAGCTGGAAAGTAGCTGCCCATGTAGATGTCCTCGAATGCGATTCCCTGCGACTGGCCATTCTTGAAGAACTCGATGCGGCTGCCCTGCAGGATGTGCAGATTCTTCAGGGTCTCAGTAATTTTGTCCTTGTCCTCGTAGTACAAATGGGACTTAAACTTCACCAGAGGCTGCAGGGAAATGAGAAGCTTCATTAAAGAAGTTTGCGGGAATCAATTTAACCACAGATAAACCCACGCGATCTTTGAATGTGTTGGGCAGATAGTCCATCGCTGGCAACTCGGGCAGGTCGATGAGCAAGCCAAGTGTGTCGCCCTCGCCGTAGGCTTCGCTGTAGTGCTTGCCGTGGCTCTCGGTGAACCTTGTGCCCTTGCGCGACCGCCAGGAGTAGCCGAACTTGTCATAGCCCAGCGGCGCCTGTAGATTCCCGTACTCCCGACCCCAGCCAACGCGCGTGGCTGCGCCCTCGGGCATCTCCTCAATGGTGATCTCATAGTACCAGCAGCCTCGGTTCACAGCTGAAAGCAAAACCATATGGATTCCAATTTCATTTCGAAATAAAATGATAAGAGCGACTCACAGTGTGTCGCGCGCACTTGCGAGTAACCTCGCTCTCCAGTTACAGCCAGACGATCTTCGCTGATCTTCAGCTGGGGCGCTCGATCATGCAGTGCCAGCAGCACGGAATGCGGCACCAGCGTGCGATAGAGCCAACCTGGTATGGGCTTGCCGGCCCAGTCCGAGCTTTCATCGAACTCCTGGCGGAATGGGGCATGCGGATCCGGTTCCGCAAGTATGTAACGATATCCGTCCTTGTTGAATGGATGCTCGAGCGGATAGCCGTGCGGAGGTAGCTTCACATTGGCCGTGATATCCGAGCTGGGACGTCCCTTCTTGCCCGTTGGACCCGCATCGGTGCCAGGAAATTTGCGCTTCTGTCTGTTGTTCTTGGCGAGCGTCGCTGCAATATGATAAAAGAGAAAAGTCTATAAGAAGCCGTACGTGACTTGGGGCGTGTAATGCGAAAAAGGCAATTAACAAATATGCAAATAACAAAATGCTGTGTGCTGGAAATCTGGCGACGCTGAAAAAGTCTCCCAACTCACAATCTTCTTCGCTGCTGGCAAACGACGCGGCGCTGAGTGTTGACGTCATCGCAAGGACAACTTATCGCCCTAATTGCGATGTGCTCTAAATCAATTGTCACACGAACACCTAACGAGCCACGGAACAATAAAATAGAGCGCAGCTATTTATTATATTAATGAATTTGGGTTCGGTGAGTGTTGCCGACCACCCCTCTCTATCTATCTCATTCTCTCACACTCTCTCTCGCCATCAGTCTCGGCGGGTGTCAGTTGTGATTGTTTGTTTATTTTATGTTCTTCTAGTTTTCCCGTTTTGTGGGCGTGTGTGTAGCGAGAAACGACGAACAAGAAATAAGAAAATGCCGCGAAACGTAATTACGATCAGCTTTCGCTTCGACTGAGTGGCGAAAAACACGGCGAGAGCGTAAAGTGTGAGCAAACGAGAAACACAAAATAAAGAGAAAAACAAAAAAAAAAAAGACACTGCCACCCGAAGTGCGCTCGCGTTCCACGGTGCCGCCACCGCTTCAAACAATAAATTAAGCAAAACAAGCAAATTAAAATGCTTGCTGCTCTCTGGGCAGACCTGCCTGAATTCAAGTGAATGAGATAACGTATACGCACACACACACATACACACACACAAACGGTAAACACATGTTAGCTTCGTTTACTTTGTTTGGAAGAGCTTTCAAAACAGAATGCGATAAAAACATCGCTCATTGTGTTTGCATGGATTCGCTTCAAATTTTGCAACACACTAATCCCACTGTGCGGCGTCAGCTGTAACGAATGGTAGGCAAAACAAAAATGAGCAGAACCTATGGCAAGCAAAATACCGAATCATACATACTCTATACGACAAATAAATATATTTTATGAAATAGTGCTACATAAAGGAATATAAAAATTTCTCAATTGAAAAAAAAAAAGTAAATAAAATAAGTCGGCATAAAATAGCTTGCAAATCTTACCCTGTATATAGCCGTCCTCTGTGAGACGCAAAGCGCCAGTTTTGCTCATAATCTCATAGTTCGGTTTAATAAGACGCAAATCCTGGTGGAACAACCCATACATGGCACCCTGATCCCCATGCTCCTCGTAGACAAACAATGTGTTTATGTCTTTGACCAGAGAGCGCTGCACCGTCGAGTACCAGGACTGAGTCAGACGACGAGGCATCGTTGTCATTGCTTCCCAGAACTGTTCAATATACGGTATGATCTCCTTGTCCTTGTTAAACTGTATTTGAGACCTGCCCTCGCGCAGAGCCGCCTGCTGCATATTGGCAATGGCACATTGACACATCTGAGATATGGCTAAAAGCAAAGCAAGTAAACAAAGTAAAAAATTGGGTCAGCGTGACTTGCTGGCTAGCGGCACTTACTCGCTTGATTCTTGCGAAAGCTCTCTAGGCCTGTGGCCGAACAGTTCTTGCACACAAATATGTAGTTTGTGATGAAAGGCAAGATCTTGCCCTTTCCCAGTTGATAGGAAATGCAGGTCTCATGAATCCAGCGCGAGCATGTTGCACATAGCAGCTCGATCACATTCAGGTTGCGCTCCTTGCCACTAAAAATGCAGAATGTAAACATTCAATATTGTGCTTATCAAAGCAATAATATGGTCACATGCGCCCACCAATAACAAACGCCGGCTGCCGCCTGCCTGTCCCCGCTTTCAGCAATGACTCCGACAGCAGAGGAAGTGCGATGCTCCTGCAATTGCATTTTCTCGTCGTCCATGCTGAAGCCGAGCTCTGGGTTGGTTTCAGTGGGTGAGCTGCTCTCCATTACGCACTCGTCCATGTTAAATAATAATATCTAGTTGGATTTTTTATTCACAAAATATGTAAACAAATGAATGCTGCTAGCAGAATGAATTGCCAAAGCGGCGGCGACTTATCGAAACTCGATCTAAGGGCATAAAATGTGGGCACCCTAACTGTAAATTTAACAGTCAGTGAAATGCTAATCGCGTGGACTACACAACTATTTTAGAGTATTAAATCGGTTTAACGAAAATCACAATTTAATAACCGTTTTGAAGCTTAATACGTTTAATCCGACGTAGTAAACAGAAAATATAGATATGTACACACTATATTCAGTAATATATATCTGAAAGAACATTCGAGTTAAATTGAAGAGCCGTTAATTGTCTATGTTTTGTGATAACATCGTTTTAAGGAACAGCTGATGTTGAACGGTGGGTATTGGCAGTTAACTTCATATAGAAATGAATGAAATTTACTTAATATTTTCTTAAAGAAGTACAAAATCGTCACAGGACTGTATTTTCAAAGCTACTGTGAAAGATTAAAATTTTGTATTGTTTTATTTTTCACATAGCATGCTGAAGTTCTATACAGGGCTGCACTTGCAAAATCATCGGCCGGCCACCTCATTCTATGGTGGTCTATCGTTCGTCTAGTAGCGATGTTTCCTATCGACAGAAAATATATCTAGAAAATATATCAATTCATAAAAATTTACTAGAATTTAAGAGTACTTTTTGGATGCAATGTTAGACAAGTGCGTGTTGTGTGCATGAGAGTGAGTGGCATTGAGTGCGCAATATAAATGGAATTGCATGGACGCTACGAAGGACTGAAGAGATCGACTAAAAGCCCACCAACAAATTGCACTTTGCGACAACGGCGAACGCTGGTGGAGGCGGAGGAGGCGACGGCAACGGCAACAGCAACGGAGAAGGCGACGGCAACGGCAAAGCAAACGGATCTTCACAAGTAGAAGCAGTAGCAGCTACAGCTTTCGGTGGAGCCGCACAAACTAGAGCAATGTGCGAAGTTTGCGCCGATTTCCAAAATCTATTGGAACTCTGTAAGTAGCAACAAAACATTTGTGCTCAAAATGTGTCGGCATTTAGGCCGTGACAACTGTATAAAGTTGCGCCTGCTTTTGCCCCTCCCCCCCTGTATGTACATACCATTTTTTTTTTTTTTTTTTTACTTTTTCAGATGAGGTTCGCGTGGCCAGTTCGGAGCTTAAGTTTCAGCTGCTGCTAAAGAGCGAAATCGAGACAACATTTAATTACATTCAATCGTGGCCGCAGCGGCAATGCATGTGTTTGTACCGGGATAACAAAAATTATGATCGATTTAACCTAGTTGTTCAGTCGCTCATCTGTCTGACCGTGCAGCACTTGAAGCATATTGATCATCTGATCGATAGCTACAAGCGGCTGACCGCCAGCGCTGCCCAAGTTGTTGCCCAAGCACAGCGAAAGCCCACATCCGATAAACATCCACAACACAACGAAAATGATATAGAAAGCGAGAACAAGCAAAAGGAACT